TTGCGATGACAGCCGACGATCACAACTCACAGTGAAGACCAATGGTCTCAAGTTTATTACACTTAAGACGTGTCCGAGACTATCGCCCAATAAGACAAATAGTGGTAATAATGATGTGATCCGTGAGTTGACTACCAGAAGGAGAGACGCCTCTTATCTGAACACTAATTATTTGAGACAAATAATGAAGACTAATGAAGAGTTGCTCTCATATCTGGTGTATGACAAACACTTCGATGTCTTGGATCTTAAGCTTAGGTTTTATATTATCTCACAATTAGAGCAATATATCTGCCATACATTCTTCAAGAACCACCAAATACTGCCATTTGGATCGTCCATCGCTGGTATGTCTCAATATCTTTCATACCTGCCGTCACGACTCTTACCATGTGTTTGATTTGTATCTTAAAGGTCTGGGAACTCCTAACAGTGACTTAGACTTAGTACTGGTTCCCAATAAGTTATCCGAAGACCAGTTGTCCAAAGAGGGTGATCGACAGCGGTTGACAACAAACCTCAATCTAATCGCAGATCTATTGCAACATTCAGTCCCATATTATTCCCATTTCTCGCGTATACTAAAGGCTCGGATTCCGATCATTAAGTTTGGCTTTGAATTAGCGCCTATTGACATAGACCTCTCCATCGAGATATCACCACATTCTGTCCACTCCGGGGTCTATATGTCTGCATATCTTAATCATTGTATTCTTCTGCATCCATGTGTCAGAGATTTGATACTTTTGTTAAGAGTTTGGGCCAAACAGCACAGTATGTCATCAATGTTTAGCCACTTTTGATTGAACTAAAAAATCTTATTTATTTTGCAGAGCTATTAAAGCCGAAGAACTGGTCCACACATATAGTATACAACGGGTTCACATCGTTTCAATTGACAGCTTTAGTCATATACTTCCTTCAGAAGCAAGAGATTGTGCCACCGATGAGACAATTCCTGAGCCATACATCTGATCGCTTCATCCTAAGCCGTCGAGACGTGTCGACTCTGGAACTATTGTCCGAATTCTTGGAGTTTGTGCTGTCGTTGAGGTGTGAATGGGAGGCCATCTCTATACTGGACGGCA